AGCACACAAAAATTGGCAAAATGGGAATATGCTAACTTCTGGGCTCATTTTACCTTGAAAATTGGCCGGTATGGCCGTCAGGGCCAACCGACTCATTAGGTAAAGTCTTAACGGATGTCCATGTAAAATTTTTACTTTTTTTACGTCGGAATTCCGAATCACCAAAAAATCTATGGACTATGACACACGAAAATCGGCAAATTGGGGGGGTATGCCTGCTCCGGTGCTCGTTTAACCTTGAAAATGGGCCGGTTTGGCTGTCAAGGCTAACCGACTCCATAGCTAAGGTCTTAACAGACATACATGAAAAATTTTGGCATTTTTGACAACGAAATTCTTGATCACCAAAAAATCCATGGACTATTGCACACAAAAATCGGCAAAATAGGTCTTATGCCTACTCCGGGGTTCGTTTGACCTTAAAAATGGGCCGGTCTAGCTGTCAGGATCAACCGGCTCCATAGTTGAGGTCTTAAAGGACGTCCATAAAATTTTTTGGCATTTTTTACATCGGAATGCTTGATAACCAAAAACTCTATGGACAATAGCACACGAAAACCGGTAAAATGGGGGCTATGCCTGCTCCGGGGATCGTTTGACCTTGAAAATAGTCCAGTTTGGTTGTCAGGGCCAACAAGATCCATAGCTAAGGTCTTAACGGACGTTCATGACAAATTTTAGCATTTTTGACGTCAGCATTTCGGATCACCAAAAAATCCATGAGTACACATGAAAATTGACAAAATTGGGTGTGTGCCCTCTCCGGGGATCGTTTTTACCTTGAAAATGGGCTTGTTTGTCTGTCAGAGCCAACCGACTCCATAGCTAAGGTATTAACGGACATCCATAAATTTTTTTGGGATTTTTGACGTAGAAATTTTGGATCACCAAAAAATCCTTGGACTATTGCACACGAAAATCGGTGCTAAGGTCTTAACAGACGTCCATGATAAATTTCGGTATTCTTGACGTAGGAATTTCAGTTCACCAAAAAATCCATGGACTATAGCACACAAAAATCGGTAAAATAGAGGGTATGCCTGCTCCAGGGCTCGTTTGACCTTGAAAATAGGCCGGTTTGGCCGTCAGGTCTAACCGACTTCATAGCTATGGTCTTAACGGACGTCCATGAAAATTTTGGCGTTTTTGACGTTGGAATTCCGGATCACCAAAAAATCCATGAACTATAGCACACGAAAATCGACAAAATTGGGGATATCCTTTCTCCGAGGATCATTCGACCTTGAAAATGGGCCGATTTGGCCGTCAGGGCCAACCAGCACCATAACTAATGTCTTAACGGACGTCCATGAAATATTTCGGCATTTTTGACATCGAAATTCCAAATCACAAAAAAATTCATGGACTATAGCACAGGAAAATTGGCTAAATGGGGGTATGACTGCTCCAGGGCTCGTTTAACCTAGAAAATAGGTCATTTGGTCGTCAGGACCAACAGGCTCCATAGAAAAGGTTTTGACAGACGTCCATGAAAAATTTCAGCAATTTTGACATCGAAATTCCGGATCACCAAAAAATGTTTGGAATATAGTAGACAAAAAATCGGCAAAATGGGGGGTATGCCTGCTCTGGGGCTCGTTTGACCTTGAAAATGGGCCATTTGGTCGTCAGGGCTAACCAGCTCAATATCAAAGGTATTGACGGACGTCCATGAAAATTTTCAGCACTTTTGACGTCGAAATTCCGGATCACCAAAAATTCATGGACTATAGCTCACGAAAATCGGCCAAATGGGGGGTATGCCTGCTCCGGAGCTCGTTTGACCTTGAAAATGGGTCGTATGGCTGCCAGGGCCAATTGGCTCCATATCTAAGGTCTTAACGGACATCTATGAAAAATTTTGGCATTTTTGACGTCATAATTCTGGATCATAAAAAAATTAATGGACTATAGCACACGAAAATCGATAAATTGGGAGGTATGCTTGCTCCGGTGCTCGTTTGACCTTGAAAATGGGCCGGTTTGGCCGTCAGGTTAAACCGGCTCAATAACTAAGGTCTTCACGGACGTCCATAAAAAAATTGGCATTTTTTACATCGGAATTCTAGATCACCAAAAAATCTATGGACTATAGTACACGAAAATCGGTAAAATTGGGGGTATGCCTTCTCTGGGATTCGTTTGACCTTGAAAATGGGTCGTTTTGGCCATCTGGGCCAACAAGATCTATAGTTAAGGTCTTAATGGACGTCCATGACAAATTTTGGTATTTTTGACGTCGAAATTCTGGTTCATCAAAAAATCCATGGAGTATAACACATGAAAATCGGCAAAATGGGGGGTGTACCCTCTTTGGGGCTCGTTTTACCTTGAAAATGATCTGATTTGGCCTTCAGGGCTAACCGGCTCCATAACTTAGGTCTTAACGAACGTCCAATAAAATATTCGACATTTTTGAGGTCAGAATTTCGGATCACCACAAAATCCATAGACTATAGCATACAAAAATTGGCAAAATGGGGTTTATGCCTACTCTGGGCCCGTTTGACCTTGAAAATGGGCCGGTATGGCCGTCAGGACCACCGACTCCATAACTACGGTCTTAACGGACGTCCATGAAAAATTTCAGCATTTTTTACGTCGAAATTTCAGATCACCAAAAAATCCATGGAAAATAGCACACGAAAATTGATAAAATAGGGGGTATGCCTGCTCCGGGGGTCGTTTGACCTTAAAAATGGGCCGGTTTGGCCGTCAGGGCCAACAGGTTCCATAGCTAATGTCTTAACGGATGTCCATATAATTTTTTGGCAGTTTTGACAATGGAATTCTGGATCACCAAAAAATCCATGGACTATAGCACACGAAAATCGGCACAATGTGGGGTATGCCTACTCCGGGGCTGTTTTTACCTTGAAAATGGGCCGATATGGCAATCAGGGCTAACCGACTCCATACCTAATGTCTTAACGGACGTCCATGAAAATTTTTGACATTTTTTATGTCCCAATTCTAGATCACCAAAAAATCCATGGACTATAGCATACGAAAATCGGCAAAATGCGGGATATGCTTGCTCCGGGGTTGGGGATCATTTTACCTTGAAAATGGGTCGGTTTGGCCGTCAGGACCAACCGGCTCCATAGTTAAGGTCTTAAAAGATGTCCATGAAAAATTTCGGCATTTTTTACGTCGGAATTTCGGATCATTAAAAAATCTATGGACTATAGCACACAAAAATTAGCAAAATGGGGGGTATGCTAGCTCCGGGGATCGTTTGACCTTGAAAATGAGTCAGTTGGCCGTTAGGGCCAACCTACTCCATAGCTAATGTCTTAACGTTCATGAAAAATTTCAGCATCTTTGACGGCGGAATTTTGGATCACCAAAAAATCCATGGACTATAGCACACGAAAATCGGTAAAATGGGGGGTATGCCTGCTTCGGGGATCATTTGACCTTGAAAATGGGTCGGTTTGTCCGTTAGGGCCAACCGGCTCCATAGCTAAGGTCTTAGCGGACGTCTACAAAAATTTCGGCATTTTTGACGTCGGAATTTAGGATCACCAAAAAATTCATGGTCTAGCACACAAAAATTGAAAAATGGGAGGTATGCCTGCTCCGGGGCTCGTTTAACCTTGAAAATGGGGCGGTTTGGCCGTCAACGCGAATCGGCTCCATAACTAAGGTCTTAACGGACGTCAATGAAAATTTTTGGCATTTTTGGCGTCGAAATTCTAGATCACCAAAAAATTCATATATTATAGCACACAAAAATCGACAATCAAAATGAATCAAAGCCGCACTGGACCAACTGGAGAGTTGGACTACTATAGAGGAGCCGAGTCCAGATCTATTCTTGTTGTGATTTTAATTGTAGAAAATGAATTTATGTACTTTTTTCCGCTCAACAATAGTTATTCAATAATACTTGTTAAGTTTGATAAATTAAGAGATAAATTTATATTTTCTGTCTATTTAGGGGTGTTCATGATTCGGTTTGGTTCGATTATTAAATAAAACCAAAATAAAATCAATTTTTTTCAAAAGCAAACGAAAAATAATTGTCGATTTGGTTATTGTCGGTTTGGTTCGGTTTCGACTTGTTTGGTGTTTTCGATTTGAAAGTAATAAATTTTTTGAGGACACACGTATCTTGATAGACATAGACACATAGTACATGAATAATTCGCATGAAAGCTATTGTGGACTTAATTAAGCAATTAAGTAATACTAGAGTTATTATTACACGAACAAAATGATTCAATTAAGAGAAAGTGTGACTATTTTATGTAAGGTAGGGTTGGTAAAAATTAAAGTAATGAATTTTGATGGACTTGAACCTATGGCTGTAACGGTTAGGCTAAAATTTAATTGTTGGGATTGAGAAATTGATAAGGTTAAGAACTTAAGTTAATTAGTAAAATTTAGCAAAACAATTATATTTTATTTAAGAATAATATATTTTCTCATTTCTATTTGGTTATTTTTTTGCAGTTCTTGTTTTACTAAAATCAAAACCAAACCAAATAGTATCGGTTTTCAAAATTTGAAACCAAACCAAAACAAACCAAATATCATTTTTAATTGGTTTGGGTCGAATTACGGTTCGGTTTGATTTTTTTTATCATAACCATGAACAACCCTACTTCTATTAAATATTATTTATCATCTAACATACTTTTCAAAGCATTAAATTTAGTAAAGTCAAATGAATAATAATTTTATCCTATTATTTAGTGTTTCTTAAGGTGTTTGTCAAGTTAACAGTGGACAAATATCAATAGACAGAAGAAGTAGAGTAATAATACTTAATATGTCGATCCGTTCTACAAGCAATTTGTGATTGAATGAAAAAATCTCTTAGATTTGATTGTTATATTATTTGTCCAATAATTATCAACTCAATACTAAATCGACCTATATCTTATTACTTAATAGTTTAACAAATTAATATATTTAAAAAAATAATATCCAATAAGTCAAATCATTAAGCATAATTATCGGCCTATAAAAAAGATTAGTCTTGTTATCTGGAAAGATTAAATAAATCCGGCGCCATATTCATAGTGATTTATGGCTGACGCGCACACTTTATTACAACAACTCCATCAATGGAAGCTTCCATTTCTTGAATTTCTCAAACTTTTACTAAATTCCTCTCCGGCGGTGGAACCCTTGTAATCTTCAACGCATTTCCTTAATTCTTACATAAATAAAGAAATCCCTTCTGTACTGCTGAAAGTTTCTTCTTCTCATCGGAGTAGATATGCCGAGCTTAATTGTCAAAGTTTACAGCTTACTCTTCAAGTATAACCTTAATCGCCGATTACAAACACTAGTCCAATCCCCAATTTCACACCCTTTTAACGGTGTCGTCTCACGCGCCGATGAATCGATTATCACTTCTAACCCTAGTTTCTCTACCGACGGTGTTGCAACTAAGGACCTGCATATTGATTCTTTAACTTCTCTATCTCTCAGGATTTACCTCCCTCAATCTGCACTTATTTCGTTGAGAAATTCGGAATCCGGTGAAGGGGTTTATGGGGGTTATGTACCGGAAAAAAATGGGAAAAATTGCAAGAAATTGCCGGTGATTTTGCAGTTTCATGGTGGTGCTTGGGTGACTGGGGGTATTGATACGGTTTCTAATGATGTTTTTTGTAGGAAATTGGCGAAATCTTGTGATGCTATTGTGATTGCTGTTGGGTATAGGTTGGCCCCGGAGAGTAGATTTCCGGCTGCGTTTGAAGATGGGGTTGCGGCGATTAAGTGGTTAGGGAAGCAAGCTAACTTGGCGGAATGTAGTAGGTCGAGTTTGGATAAGAGGATTGTTAATGGAGAGAAGCATAGGGGAAGGCAAATTGTGGATGGATTTGGGGCTTCTATGGTTGAGCCTTGGTTAGCAGCTCATCTAGATCCTTCAAGGTATAGCTTTCTGTTACTAATTCGTTCTGTTGTATAATATTGATGTTTTTGGCTTAGTAAATCACTACTAGTAGTTTCGTTTTCTTGGTTTATCTTGTTTGATTTTGTACTTCCGTTGCTCGTTTTTGTTCTTGTTCGGTGCTGTTAACTGTGTTAAAGAAAGAAATTGTGATCTTACACATGTCATAACGGGTATTTCATTAAAGGTAAGATGAGAGGTTAAAGCTAGAGGCTTCAAATATAGAAATGTGTCTCACTGTTTCGAACAAACTAAAAGTGTCATATAAGATAGAGCGGAGGGGAGTACCAGCTAAGTTAAGTAATTTCAGCTTCTATTTTGGATATAAGAGGTAGTTGTTTGAGGAATAATTTCCTTAATATGGATCACACCATCTGCTAGGATTATGCAAAAAAAAAAGCATCTAATTAGGCCCGCCCCGACTATTGAATGATGTTTACATTTGATTCCCTGAGCTGTAAGCTAAACAGATATGACCGTGTGATGGTGTTTTAAGTCTCGAGACCTGGGAAACAGGGAGTTTTGAGAGGCCAAATTAGAGTTTTAGTGACTTAGTGTGATAAATTCAGTTTGGAAGACGAGACTCTAGTATGAAATCATAACTAAGATATATGATCCTCCTCAAAAACCTGCCTCTCCTTTTGAATATTGTCTGTATATTAGGTGATCTTTAGAAGCGAAAATGAACCAAATTACTTTCCTTTCACACCTATACATGTCAATTTATTAAATAGCTTATGACAGATTGAAAAGATCATATGACTTGAGGTGAAATATACTAGAAAGTGCTTGTAACTTTGGTTCAATCTGATTTTATAGGTGTGTTCTCCTTGGAGTAAGCTGCGGAGCCAACATTGCTAATTATGTTGCACGATATGCTGTTGAGGCAGGGAAATTTTTGGATCCTATAAAAGTTGTGGCTCAAATTCTTATGTACCCTTTCTTCATTGGAAATATTCCTACGCATTCAGAGATGAAACTGGCAAACTCTTACCTCTACGACAAGGCTACATGCATTCTTGCTTGGAAACTTTTCCTCCCGGAAACAGATTTCAATCTGGACCATCTAGCTGCTAATCCCCTTAAACCAGGAAACGAGAAACCCTTGGACTTGAAGCATATGCCACCCACGCTTACAGTGGTCGCTCAGTATGATTGGATGCGAGACAGGGCTATTGCTTATTCAGAAGAACTTCGAAGAGTGAATGTTGATGCCCCTCTTCTTGATTACAAGGATGCTGTGCATGACTTTGCTACCCTTAACGTGCTTCAGAAAACGCCTAAAGCTCAGGCTTGCTTAGAGGACATCTCGATTTGGGTCAAAAAGTATATATCCCTCAGAGGCAATGAATTTTCATATTGAGTGAAGAATCAGAGAGGAGACGGCACAGGTTCCTGCTCTTAGGGTATCTGCCTACCTCCTTTCATTACATATTTAGTTTCAAAGTGAGATTTTTGTTTCAATTTTTGTCCCTGGTTATATTGTTTCATTTATTAGTTCATGATCATTCTTTTATATACAAAATATGTAGACTATAGTGATGTACATAGCTTAAGACTTCAGAAGAAACACTGAAATTTAATGTAAATTTGGAAAATTTGCTCTTTAATGTAAAGCGTTTCCCTTTCCGGTTTCAGCTGCCTTGGAAACCATTTGATGAGAGGATTTAACTTATATACATTTCCACTTTGCCAGTGTAAAAAATGAAATGTTTACACCATCAGTGTATTTAAGGTGTGCCTTACTTTCGAAGTTAGGGTAGTCCCACAACGTAGAGTCTAGAGAGGGTAGAATGTATGCAGATTATAGTTTTACCTCTGAGGTGAGGTGGAGAGGTTGTACCGGATAGACCCTCAATTCATGGCAAATATAGTTTAGAAAAAGACGTAATGAAAGTAGAAGAGATAATAGATAATAACAAAAACAACAAATAGTATAGAAAACTACTAAAACAATAATCATATAATGGAACTACACGAAGCAATCGATAGTAACATAAATCGAAGAATAGGAAACTACAAGAGTAGTACTACGACTACTAGTAAGGGAAACAAGACAATACACTCTTACCTAACTAACCTTCTAGGCTTCTACCCTAATTCGTGTTGACCACACCTGCCTATCTAAGATCATATCCCCAGTAAGTTGCAACTGCGTCATGTCCTATCTAATTAGCTCTCCCCAATACTTCTTCAATCTACCTCCATCTCTTCTGAATTCATCCATAGCAACCTCTCACATCTTCTCACTGGGGCATCCTTCCTGACTTCATCACATGCCCAAATCATATCAAGCTCGCTTCCCGCATCCTATCTTTCACCCAAAATCACTCCCACCTTGTCTCGAATATCCTAATATTTAGTTAGTTCTATACTTGACAGTATTAAGAGTATATAATGTATACTCTTGAATGAGATATTATGTCATTAATGCAGATAAGAGTGACATTATGTTGGTTAATATAAAAGATGAGTAGTTGACTACAGAAATATTCCAGCCAGATCAAGAAACAAAGACGACACTTTCTAATTTGAATATTGTACTATGTGAAAATTCTTGAATTTCATTATGTGGTCAAATAGAAACTGCTGAGTTTAGTCAGCTCAAATTTGCTAAAAAATAATACATAATGTGTTTAAATTATTCATCAACAAACAGGAAAAATAATTTTTGTTTGACACGTTTGCTGCCTTAGTTTGCAGAATGGTTCAAACTATTAATCTTCTAGAAAATAACTAGTGGCGTAGCCATATATAGGTCAGTGTGATCAGTCGAACATTCTTCATTGAAAAATTATATTAGTAGAAAATTATACAAAATATATATATAGGTCAAAAATTATTTTTGATACGTATGTGTTAAATCGTGAACATCCTTAATGAAATTTTTCGCCATTAAAAATAACAGCAGAATATTATATAGTACAATTTCATCCCTATTAAGTATGTGTTTGAACAGATATCGACTTATTCATGGGACACGTTCAAATGTCTTAAAGTCGTCTGCCCCTATTGATTTCACTGGTTTTATTTTTTATTCTTTTCCTTGTTTCAAATTATAACTAATTTCCAAATAGGAAAACATACAACAGAGCCGCTGACACATAAATTTTGTTGGGTTAAATTCAAGTACTCAAATCTTAAAACAAGTTTTAAAAGATTGTAAAAAATTTCTCAAAATGACTCGGAAGAACTCTCAAGACTTAACTCTTAACTCTACCTTAAATTTGAATTATGAATTCAAGGTTATGATTCACGTTATGAAGAATCTCTTGATATTTAACGGAGATTTTTAGTGTGGATATCAAGTAGAAAACATAGGAACGATTAGAGGGAACTCACATAGAAAGTAGGTCGGAAGGGTAGGGGACCTGACGACCCTGCTTTTAAAAGATTGTAAAAGTCGTCTCAAAACGACTCAAAGGAACTCTCAAGACTTAACTCTTAACTCTACCTTAAATTTGAATTATGAATTCAAGGTTATGATTCACGTTATGAAGAATCTCTTGATATTTAACGGAGATTTTTAGTGTGGATATCAAGTAGAAAACATAGGAACGATTAGAGGGAACTCACATAGAAAGTAGGTCGGAAGGGTAGGGGACCTGACGACCCTGGCGCACTGAGTGGCGTGGGGTGCTAGCCCCTAAACTAGGGTTGGGGTGCACTGAGTGGCGCGGCGCCCCAGGCCCCAACCTATAGAAACTTGTTTGGGGCACACTGAGTGGCGCGGCCCCCCACCCCTTTTCCCTGAAATTTGACGAATTTTCTTACTTCGTTTTCATGTCTAACTCCTCTAGAATCAAACGATTCCCCTCAAACTCTTATGGATTCTTAGACCCAACATAATTAAAAAGAAATCCACTCTAAATTACTCAAGAAAGACACCCAATACAAGATCCTCATCGCAAGAATTCAACGAAACCTCATACTTAAAGAATGGATCACAAACTTCAAGAACTCAAATTTATCAATTTTTATGGATGAATTCGAATATGTAAATCATGACTGGCTTGTGGGTAAACGAACCCAACACTATGAAAGCTTACATACCTTAATTTGGCGTAATCCCTCGACAAATCTCCCGAATCTTGACGAACGCTCTTTTCTCCTCTCTTTGCTTCTTGAACGTTCTTCTAAAATCCTAAGTGTAAATTAGGATTTGTAAAACTGACTCAAATTATATTTGACCCCAAAATATTTACTAATTTTGTTTTAAGCAGATGGGGTAAGGAAAATACCGAAATACCCCTCATATTTTTGGGTAACGTTCCTTAACTGGATAGACAGATTTTAAATGGGCATATCTCCCTCATCCGAACTTGTAACTTACCAAACTCTATGGCGTTGGAAAGAGGATTCCAAGACCTTTCATTTGATATCTTATGGGCTACATAACTCATCCTGTACTGAAAGTTATGGTCGTTTGAAGTTGACTCAAAACTCACAACTTAAGCATAACTTGCAAAATTCTCTATTTAGCTATTTCCAATTTAGCACTCTCTAAATTTAGCTCTTTCTTAGGCGGGATGCTACATTAATATTCCTGGTGAAGTTTTATACTCTTCAAGTCGAAATATTCATTCAAATATGGTTAATAAATTGGTGAAGTTTTTATATCCATCTAAGCAAATGCACCGTCTAATCTATTTGGTGAAGTTTTTATATTATTTAAACTAAAGGAGGAGAAAATCAGAAGATTATAGTCTCCAAAATCAGACACAATCAAATTTCACACGAAGTAGAAAATCACATAGGTTTTAGTCTCTAAAAGATTACAAATTATTAATAAAAAAATAATTTCTTGAAGATTGTTGTCTAACATGTATTATGAAATTTTTTAGAACAATAACTTTGCAGAGCTTCGAAGAAACATCAAAGTTTAAAGTATATTTTCAAAAAACAGTAAAAAAAACATAATATGCAACAAACCCCACTAAATGCATAGTGTGTCCTTAAGAAAATTAATCCCCTCAAGTACCCAAGATTATTGGAATATATCCTTGAAGGATAGAACGATTTTACTCACTGGGTATTGGTACCTAAAACTATGTATCAACTAAACTCTCAAACATAGTAAAGTACACTAGAATTTGTTTATGCAAAATAAGAATAAGTTCAGAAAATTTGTTGCCGGAAAATGAGAGGAGATCGTTTATTTATAGACAACAAAGGGTAGTATGAACAAGTGTTTGTGTCTTATCAGAAATGTCACAACCCTTTAAAAAAAAAGATTTCGAAAAACTCACAATCTTTTTGAAAAGTCCAACCCTTCGAAAAAGTCAACACCTTTCAGAAAAGTCGCAATTCTTAAGAAAAGTCACAACCCTTCATTGCCATTCACACCTTTTAAAATACAACAATGTTCACACACATTATTATGTTCCCAATTATTTTATCTTATTTCAGACTGATTATGTGCTTCTACTATATTTTTTTTGGTAATGGAGCAGTTCTAGTGAGACAAGACTTCATAATTTTTCATTAAAAAGGGCATTATATTGCTTAGCCTCTAGAAGGCATGAGACCGATCAAAGTATTTCTAAGAATCTCTTTTACAATATTATTATTGTAATATCACATTTTAGGCATGGAAGGTAATAAGTGACTTTTCCAATATGTTCTCATTATTTATAGTTTTTCCACACAATTGCAATTAAAAAGTTATTCTGAATATAGCAGAATTATACTCAATTACATTGTAAAATCTTGAAATCCTAAATGCATTCACTCATAAGGAGTCCTTGGTAATATGGTTGCCTTAAGGTGGTCATACCTTCCTTTCAAACATATCCATAATTCAAGTGATTTTTTTTCTCTGTCAAGTATTCAACCTTCAGGCTTTCATGCAGATGGTGACCAAAAGAAAATCATAACCTTTGCTTTATCCTGACTTGATGCTTCATTTTCTTTGATCATAGTATCATCAAAATCCTTAGCGGCAAGGCGAATATCAACATCAAATATCCATAACAAGTAACTTTCCACAACGTCAAGTGTCGTTATTTCAAGCTTTAACAAATTTGACATGATGAAAACTATAATAAATAGTTGAGTTAACATTATAATGTTGATTTCTTCATAATAAATGGTAAATTAATATTTCAAATGATAAAATATAGTATGAGTATAAAATATATTATATGCAAGAATATAGAATGAGTTATTAGTTAGTGATAGTGACATATAAATGCCACACCTCTTCAATGAGAAGTGATAGTTTTTGAAAAATAAAAAATTTAGAGTCGCCTTTTGGAATTGAGTTTTTGGGTGTTCCAAATCACCTTATAAATTCCTAATAAAAAGAAATGACCCTTTATTTTTAGTTAACGAAACAAAAGATGGGTAAGAAATTTTATTGACCGGAGGAAGATGTGAGGCATCCCCGAGTCCCATGATTCTAGCACGATCGCTTCATTGACTCATGTTTGGCTAAAAATAATTTTGGATAAAATAAATTTGTATTAGTCGCTAAGTTTACACAAATGATTTGCCTAGAAGCATTGCAACACACAAGACCTTTTTTTTTAAAATAACAAAAATACACACCAAGAATCGTAACCGAACACATGGTGGTATTTAATAAATTTTATTTATTAAAAAAAACTAATAATTGATGACTCAATTCTTTTTTA